AGGGAGGGGGAGAAAAAATTAAAACTCAAAAGCTTATGGAAGTGATTGTTGATAAATCAAAATAAATTAATAAAAAAATTTTTTTTTTAAATCTGACACCCAGAATTATAAAGATACAAATTTACAGCAGGAATGCCCAAATGATCAAAGGAAGTGAACAGATGATTTTCAAGGAAAGAAACACAAATTGCTAATAACCACCTGAAAAACTAATCAAGCTTTCTAATAACCAGAGAAATAAATGCAAATTAAAATCTTGAGGTACCACCTTACACCCAAGGAAGAAATTGGTTTAAATACTTTAAAACTATAAAATCCACTCCCAGTACCATTGTGTGGAAACAGACACACTGTTACATTGTTGGTGTAATTGTGAAACGGTGCAGTCTATTAGAACCAATCTGGAAATGCACAGTAAGTAAGTAAACTGTGACCCAAGAATCCTACTACAATTCTACAGAGCATAAAGCAGTGGTGTCAAACTCAGATGGGGGGGGGTAGGCGGGGGAGAGAGATGATGCACAAAACCAGACATAAGGGGCAGCTAGATGGCGCAGTGAATAAGAGCACTAGCACTGGAGTAGGAAAGATCTGAGTTCAAATCCAACACCAGACACTTACCAGCTGTGTGACTCTGGGCAAGTCACTTAACCCAAATGCCTCCAAAAACAAAACAAAACAAAAAACATACATAAGGAAGGATCCCTACAGGCTACATATTGACCTAGAAAACCACATGTTGACATTATTTATGTTCTACTACATTTTTATTTATTTAATTTGTTAAATATCTCCCAATTACACTTTAATCAGATTCCAGGTACTCAGGAATGTTGTGAGCTAGTGTTTGACACCTCTGGTCTAGAGATATTATCTGTACTGAAAGAACTATAGCTGTTTTGTTTGTATTGGGGAAAAACTCCAAACAACCCAATGATTAGAAAACAGCTGAATAATTGTCTCTTAATAATGTAATAGAATATTATCAGGCCATAAAAATGACAAACGTGAAGGATAAAAAGAAATATAGAAAGATTCACAGGAAGTAATGCAGAGTAAAGAGAGATAAGAAGAACCGCACATGTTGACTAAGCTATAAGAGCAGCAATAAAGCTTTATAAGTATACAGATGGAAAAGAGAGCAGACTGGGACTCAACAAACAGGTTATTATTGTCATTTCTTATGGTCTTTTATCAAGATGTCAATCATTCCAATCATGTAGTTTTAAAGGGGGCTCTATGCCTCAGTCTATTTGTCCAAATTTGTTGAGATTGTTAGTAAGTTCATAATTTTAAAAAATTTGGGGATCATCAGTGTGAAGAACTCCTGGAATGGGAATTCCCTCCACTGGTGCAGATCTGCAACTTATCCTGAGTTTTTAAAGAGCCTAGTCATACAACCAGCAGGTTTTTAGCCAATCCAGGACTCCAATCCATGTCTTCTCGACTCCAAGGTTGGCCCCCTGTTCCTGTGAGATGCCACTCTGCCTGAAAAAATTTTTAAAATAATTTTCAATTCAACAAGCATCTATTATGTACTAGTATGTATATACCAGACACTGGTACAAAAATACAAAAAGGAACTGCCTTCAAGAAACGTATAGTAAGTATGTTTTTGGAGAAAATATATTTGATAATATAGGGCATCTTTACCAGGCACTTGTGAGGCAGTGAAGAAAGCAAAGCTTGAAGTCAAGAAGAATTAGATTTAAATCCTCTCTCTGATACTTACCAGATCTGTAACCCTAAACCAGTCACTTAACTAACCTCTCTGAGCCTCAGTTTCTTCATCTGTAAAATGGGACTGATGATACTAGCATCCAGCTTATCCAAGTGTTGTGAGCATCAAACATGCACAGCGCTTTGCAAATGATAAAACATCATACGAATGTTAGATTAATTCTTATTCATGGAGGCAGCAAAGGGGAGTGACAAAAGGGGGCGCTACTGCTGAGCGTGCTCAGATCCTTTCATCTCTGGTTCTTGAAGACACCACCAGAATCCCACTAATCTTAAAATTCTGCACCAAATCCTAACATTTGATCTGTACCTTGGAGCTGTCCAAAATAAAGCCATAAAATCGCCTGGAAAAAAAAGGGGGGGCGGACAACGTTATATATGGGCTTCCAGGCCACTGGCTTTAAGGAGAAAACATACTGCTACTTGGTGTAAGTTACATAGGCTGGCAAAGAAATGACATGCCTTGAGATGATTCAGCAAAGACAGATACCATGACTTACTACAGGAGATTTAAATGTAAAGAGCTGCTCAGGTAACCAACTGCCACCAACAATCACTTACTCTATGTTCAAAGGCAACTCCCCCCAACTTCCACATCAATGCACCAAAAAGCTAGTTTGATTTGCAAGCGTTAACTAACACCAACAGCAATTTATTCACCAAGAATTGAAGCCCCCTGCTATGTGCAAAGCAGATGCAATCATGTCCTTCTTCTAGAAATGAACAACTAGTAGGAAAAGTCTCAAAGTCCAACCTAAAAATAATGTACACTTGGTCAATGACTTTAAATAGAAGCACCCTTGGGAAACTCTCCACTAGGAAAAGGATGACTGCAGCCTAGGCTTATTGGCTCAAGGAGGTAAAAATTTGGCCATCAGCAACTTTCAAGCCATAGGATATTTCAAGTCTGTCATGCAAATCCCTGGCATTTGGGGGCTCAAATGAAACCCCAAAGAAACCTCCAGTTTACTGCATGGATTCTAAATCCACATACTCACCATAGTCGTGGCCCCTGAAGGAAAATCCAAGCAATTAAGGAGATGCAGTTCACGCAAAGATATCAGCATGCATCTCCAAGTGAATGTAAGAGGTACTCAGCTGCTAGGGGCTGAGCATTATGTACTTGCATCCAAACCTGCAGGCTGGCAAACACCACAACTGCTGTAAATTCTACTGCATGCCCTTGCTTCCAACACCAGCACTAGTTAATTAGTGGGCTATGGTACAATGCAGGTCCCAATGGGCGAGTGGCATCGGGAATATTTTTTTTTAGCCCAAAGCTTTGGCCAACTGCTTTTAGGTGCTCAGATCTCCCTTTTGGGGATGTCAGACTCTCAGATAAAAAGCAATTAATTTTCCAGTAGTGGTGAGTGTGTGTGCCCCCTTCCCCAATGGGGGGATGGAGAACACATGTAAGAAAGATTATCCTTTTAAAGAACCCTTGTAATTAGCTCAACTCCTCACCCTGACCTTTTTTTGTCACCCCAAATCAACACTGCAAGATCACAAGAATTGTGTGAAATAACTAAATACGAGCCTCTTAAAATGTCAGGGCTAAATTTGGAATCCCAGGCATTTGTTTCAGCTGAGTCCCCAATAAAATTCACTTCCTATTGATTCAAGATCAGGTTAATAAAGGGGGGGGGGACCTAGCCCTTTCTGATATCTGCAAATGGTGATTTAAAAAAATACGTTTCACATTTTATATTTCATTTGTGTGAAATTTAGAAAGCCCATCAATCAATCAGGATGCTGATGCCAACGCCCCAAAGCAAAGAGATTTTTCCTCAACCAGCAGAGATTTTTTCCAAGTTGAAAAGCCTAGTGAAATCTTAGTAGATTCATAGTACGGAACAAATTCACAATACATAACCAGTGATAAGCAGACAGTGGTAAGGAAGACGTCCGAAGGCACATTTTCAGCTGAAAAAGGCAACGGGAAAATCTGCCCCATAGTCAAGTTCTCCCCAAAGGGTCTCGCACTTTCTCTACCCCTAACCCCCTAGCCCGAGGGGCGGAAATAAATCCCAATTCGAAAGACTTCTATTCCCACCACCTCTCTGCAATTCATGGAAGTTGCTGCAAATAGCTGGCAGCAGAGCAGTCGAGCGTTCCCCCTCCTTTTTTTATTTTTATTTTCATTTTTATATTTCTTTTTGCTCCATTCTCCCTGCATCCTGAAGGAGTAAACAGAGAAAAGTCAGTTATCTGTCTTCCACCAGCCCAGACAGGCTGCGGAAGCGGAATCCTTAGACTCTGGGGAGTATGTGCGTGTCTATATGTGTGTGTGGTGTGGTGTGGTGTGCGTATGCATATGTGTGTGTGTGTGTGTGTGTGTGTGTGTGTGTGTGTGTGTGGCGGCTGGGGGGGGGGTGTCAAATGTGGAGGGAGGTCTAGATGCAGCCTGTCTGGCTTCCTCCTTCCAAACACATCGTACAGTCCGAGCTCAGGCAGCCCTGGTTCCCTGACACTTGGCAGACAGTGCGTGCAGCCCCTGGAGGCTTGATGGTGGCCCCCATTACCAAACAGCACCCTGACCCGACTGACCGAGCCTCAGCGAAAGGGGCACCCCACAGAGTGGGCCAACCTAGGCTCCCGGGTGCTGCGACGCACAGCGGGGGTGGCCTGAGGGCGGCTGCCCCTAGCCTAGCCCAGCCAGTCTGTCTGTCTCTCTCTCTCTCTCTGTGTCTCTGTCTGTCTGTCTGTCTGTCTCTCTCTCTCTCTCTCTCTCTCTCTCCCCGCCCCCGTCTCCCCTAAAGGTTCCCGCTGCGCTCGGGTTTGCGGCTCGAGGTTACTGCCTCCATGTGCTCCCGGTAGGGGAAACAAAAGGCGGCTTTGCCCGCTATTCCAACGCCATATTCGGATGGGGCTAGCCTGGAGCTGGGGCGAAAAGGGCCAGGGCAGCGGACCGCGCGCGGCTAGGCTAGGCTCCCGCAGCCAGCCTCCCAGCGGGCCGCCCGGCGCCCAGAGCGCAGCCGGACCCCGCCGGGGTGCCGGGGGAAGCCCTGTTCCCGCTCGCTCCGGGGCCGCCCCGAGTTGGTCCGGGCGCCGGCGTGTCTCGGGAGGCTTGGATGCACAGTGGGGAAGGGAGGGGAGGGGCCGGGGAGAGTGGGCAGCCGGCGGCCAGGGGTGCAAGGACCGTCTGAAAACCCGGAATCGACCGCCAGCCGGCCGGCTGGGTGACTGGGGCGGAAGAAAATGGAAAGCGGAACAAACGCACGCACCCTCGAGGCGGGCGCTCTGAGAGCGGCTGTACTTACAAAGCGGCCGATGCTCCAGCGGAACATCTCGAGGAAGGGCAGGCGGTGGCGGGCAGCCGCAGCCAGGGCGAACGACAGGGCTGGCGAGAGGAGCAGCAGGCTGGCGGGCTGGCGGGCTGGCGGGCGCAGGCTGAGCGGGCGGGCGAGCCGCGAGGCGCCGCGCGCCCAGCACACTGCGGCGGGCACCAGCGAATGCCAGCAGCGCCCCGGCCGGGCAAATGCCTTGCTTCTCTCCCTCCTTCCTTCCTTCTTTCCTTCGTTCCCTCACACCCTAGGTCCCTTAACTCAGCCTCCTCTACCCTAACCACCCGCTGTCACCGCTGCCACGCTGCACCCTGCGGCCACTACCGCCGCACTGCCCCCTTGGCTCCCTGGCAGCCCGGCTGCCTTCTTTTTCCTCCCACCCCACCCCCAGGCCCGCACCTCCCTGGGGGCGGCACCCGTCTGCCCGCCTCTTTTCCCTTATCTTCACTCCCTCCACACAGACACACACTCACATACACAGGCGCACGCACACTTGCGCGCACACAGACACAGACACACACACAGACACACACACAGACACACAGAGACACTCCGGGCAGATCCCGCAGTCCCCAGAGGAGCTGAGAGGAGAGATGTCCAATGTTTAGGCTCCTCCTGCGGGGGGAGGAGGGTGGGGAGGGGTGGATGTGAGGGAGAATGGATGGTATAGCCTAATCTGGGTTAACACCGCCAGCCCCTGTCGGACCAATTGCCCCGCACAACCCTGCGCAACCCAGTGCTTTAGTCTCCTTCCCTCGCTGGCCTTCACGGCCGAGGATCTACTGCCCCAACTGGGGCAGGGGTTGGGGGGGGGGGGGGGGGGGCCTTATTCCCGGGCCCCCGCCCCAGTCCCTCCGGTCCGGGCCTTAGAGCAATATTGCCCCCCCCCCTTTCGGCGGCCTTTTTCCCCCCCCCGGGCGGCCCCCCGGGGGCCGGGGGGCCCCCCCCTCCCCCCCCACCCCCCCCCCCCCAGTCCCGCGCTCCAGGGCCAGGGGGTAGGTACGGGGCAGCCCCAGCTCCCGCCCCTACTACTCCGCCGGCTTGCGCGGCGGCGGGGGGCTAGCTGGTGCCCACTCCAGCCCTAGGGAGCCACGTCTAGTAAAGCAAATTGGGGAGGGGGTGGGGGGAGGGGGTGGGGGTAGTTTAAAAAAGCCACCTCCTCACTCCTAAAAGCAACTGGGGCTCTCCCTCACGCCCTCCCCTCTCCTCCCCTCCCCGCCCACCTATCCTGCTTTCCCTCCTTCCCGCCCTCCTTCCTTCCTTCCTTCCCTCCTTCCTTCCTTCCCTCCTTCCTTCCTTCCTTCCTTCCTCCCACCCCACCTAAGCTCTCTTACTTCCACTTTCTCTAGGAGGTTGTAAAGTAGGGCTTTTGTGTCGCTGCTGTTGCGCTGCGGGGCGGGATTTCCCTCTCCCTCCCGCTCCCCCCCCCAAGCCCGCCCTCGGCCGAGAGCAGTCTGGGAACTGTAGTTCAGGAAGCCTGCTCTGCCCCTCTGTGCTGTTGACACGCGGGCTGGGAGCTCCCCCAGCCGCCCGCCTGTCTGCCTGCTTTCCTGGTCACCAGCCTGTCAGGCCGGGCAGCAGGCCGGGGCGGTGAGGGCAGGCCCTGGGGAGGAAAGGGCTGCCAAGACCCTGGCCTGGGAATTAGGAAAAAACGAGATACGTGGAGCCTTTCCCTCAAACTCGGAGGACCCCCTAGACCCCCAGTGCCCCACCCCCATGTCCCCTCAGCCTGGCAAAGAATGGACCAGGACAAACTTTCTCATCTGAAAAATCAAAAGTGAAGTGCCTGGCGGGGGCTGCACCTAGCTGCCGCACGTTGACAGAGTCAACCTACTGCGAGGGCTCATAGCAGTGTTCTGGGTTCAAATCCAAGCCCACCTGGGGTCCCCATTTTCCGAGGACTGCCATAAGGCCTCGGGGCTTTCCCAAGAACACCAAGAAAGAATGGAGGTAAGAAAGGGAGTTTCCCAGTGTCTCCCCACCTCAGCGCCCTGGCCTCTGGGGCACTCTGCTCTGGGCCAGCCTAGGGCTAGGAAGAAGCTTTGGCTTTAGGCTGAAGGCTTCTCCTGTCTCTTCTGACCTGGTCTGAGTGGCTCACTGGAGGCCAAACCCTTTTCCTGGTACACCTCCATGACTGGGTTGGGTGATTCGAGAGATGCTAAGCTTTTTCTTAGAGCAACTCAGTGTATCTTTACAATGAGACAAGCCAAATTCCCCAACTGCAACCTACTCTCTTTTTCAGGTCTTCCTTTATATGTCACTCACCCATTTCCTGACTCATTTGGTGTTTAATATTTAGAAAGATGTTTTCATTCTAAGTGGCCCATTAGGTTCTATAAACAAAATGAAGCTAAACTCTGGGCCTTTGCCACTTCATAGATTCCTTTTAAAGTGACACTTGAACTGTACATATTTGTTTTAATTCAAAGAATCAATTACTGTGGTTTGGTAGATTTTTCCCTCTAGAAACCATTTCAGGCACATTTCTAGAATTCTGACAACAGTATGTGGAATATCGTGGCAATAGTAAACAAAACTATTCAGACATTAGAGTGAGATCATCTAATCATACAGCCTTCGAGGTTCCCCAAGTACAACATTCCTCCTGTTCTTAGCACAGACAGACAGTCCTCTGGAGTCTGAAGGTACTCCCTTCTCCCCCAGGCTCTAGGAATCTCTGACTACCTTCAAAGCAAGGCTCAGGTGCCTCTTCCCATAGCAAGGCCTTTGCTAACCACATTCCACCACCACCTTCTCTCCCTGACCCCCCCTTAGTACTACTCTCTCCCTCTTGAAAACAGTTTGTGTGACTTCAATGGAATATACAGTAACAAAGAAGTACACCTAAGCAAAAACAAACAGCACTTTGAATGTTTAACAATATTGCCTCGTTCTATACCTGTAGTCTACCACCCCTCTAGAAGAAAAAGGGAAATATCCTAATTTAGTTTTAGCACATGACCTAGGATTTTGGGTCCAGAGGAACTCACATGAATGTTAAAAAAAAAAAAAATCGGTTACAAATCCAAATGTACTCAGTACAAAAGACAAACTTGCATATTCAAATCTAGGCCCATACTCTCTTCCTTATCCAGCTTCCTATGTGTGGTTTTTATGAAGACAAAGAGAGACTATTTTAGCACTTTCCAAAGAAATCCCAGGTGTTGTAGGAAGCTGTTGTTGGTGACTATGACAAGCAGACCATTAGCCACCATTCTGATTCTGCCAACTCCAGAAACAAAAGTGTAAAAAGCACCTTCCTCCAAATAAAACTCCAAACCCCATGGTCCAAACATAACACCAGCTCTTCAGGACATCAGCTGACTACAGCAGAAGTCCCTAGTCTCCTGCAGGCAGGAACACAGAGTAAGCAGTCTTTTGGCCTTATTACTAGGTTGGGTATACAGTATAGCTAAAGCTAGGGTGGGGGAGGAGTGGGGGGAGAGGAGGAGTGAACCTCCAGGTCTCTTTTTGACCCGATTTCCTCTGCTTTCCCATTTCTGGACAAATCACTCTGAAGCAACCCTCCTGTCTTCCCACTCATCTTCTCCTCTCCAGAGCCCCCAGGGACAGATGGACTGACATCCCAAGCCACACCAATGCCCAAGGTCTCACCTGAGGGGGCCCTGAACAACCATAGGGACCAGGTTACTGGACAGGAAGGCAGCTGACTAGAAGGAAGTGGTTCTCTCCACTGGTGCCATCAAAACCACCACCGCCACAACAACAAAACCCTGAAGTGATTGCATGTACAGTTAGCCAATAAGCCACCAGCAACGTAAAGAAAAGGCAGACTGCCCAAGCTCTGAATGCCTCCTCTCTCCTGTCTCCTCAAGCTATCCTTCTGTGATTTCTTTCCCCCTTACTAGCTGTAAGACTCTGGACAAGTCGTTTAACCTCTGTTTGCCTTAATTTACTCAACTGTAAAATGAGTATAATAATGGCACCTGCTTTCTAGGGTTGTTGCTAGAATCAAAGAATATAATATTTGTAAAGAGATTAGCACAGTGCCAGGCACATAGTAGGCTCTATACAAATGCTTATTTCCTCCCACTCTCCCTTTCTAGACTGCCTCAAGTGTTTGTGAAAAACCTGAAAAAAAAAAAAAAAAGATCCTGAAAAGGATCTGAAGAGCCAGGACCCTTTTCCAAATAATTCCATCTATTCCATTTATCACCAATAAAAGGTGAGCCCCTAGAGGACTAAGGCTGCTAGTTTTGGGTGGGGTCTTTATCTCCACAGGTACTTCCCTGGCACCAGGCTCGGAGTAGGAGCCTAATAAATGCTTGTTGAATTGAATCAAATTGAAATATCCTTGGTCTCTCTCGAGGGCCGAAGAAGACAATAGGAATGAGTCAGTGCAAATTCTTGACCACTACTGGAAAATCATTCAAAAGCCACACCCAAAAAGGAATTCCACTAGTAACAAACCCGAAGATTAATTTTATCTTTGGGTGATGCTAAAGGAATTGAGCAAAGCCCATTTAAATGGTTTTGTTTTAAAAGGAGCTGAAAATTGTGGTATTAGACACTCCTTATAGCTCCAAGGCCTGTCAGCTGACATAATGCCTGTGGGTGCCACCGACTGGTCTAAATTATAAAAGAGGGGGGAAAGAAAAAAAACTGAAGCTGAAAAATGGGAATAGAAGAGAAAGTAAAGGGGACTTCAGAGAGTAACAAAAAAGGTTATCAAGGACTGATTCAGGTACCAAGATTGAGAGTTGGCAAGCACTTAGCTCAGCTGATCATAGGATCACACATAGTTTTAGAGCTGGAAGGGCCCTTCATCTCCTGTACCCCATGTTTTAGATATGAGCAAGTTTAGGTGACTCACCCAAGATTACACAGATAGTAAATGGTAGAACCAGGATTCCAACCCAGGTCCCTTTACTCCAAACCTAGTGTGCTTTCTTACTGTACCCTCCCTCACAAGGTTACAAAGGAGGAAACTGAGGTCCAGAGAGGCGAAAGGCCACACAGATAGTAGCAGAGCCAAGGCTTGAGGTCAAGTTCTGTGACTCCATAT